TTATAATCTCAAGTTTGTTCTCAAACTAAAATATCATAACAAAACTGTTCTTAAAACCTAAGAAGATTAACTATATATACTAACAATAGCTAAAAATCCTAATTCAATTCTAATTTGAACTTCTAATAAGCTACTAATTCTAATCCTAATTAAAAATGACTTTCCTAAAATTAAACTTAGATTTCAAATGAAACTCAAACTTAATGCAAAACAAACAGCCCTAAAACTAATCATTAAAAATAGCTCTATGCTCTTACATCATTCTCCCCAAGTTGGAAATTGTGCTAGGTTCAAATTGAAGGTCTTGTATTTAGCATATTTATCCAGAGCAGTTTTCTTCCATGAAGTTCTCCAAGAATGTCCCTTAAACTTTACACCCCTATAGCAAACAATGATGTTGGAATACGATGTAGTCTCACCACCTCTTTCAGAAATAAATCAACAACTTGTGTGGCACCTGAGATTTTTAAACAAGGAAAAAAGTCAGCCATTTTTGTGTATAATTTAGTCTTGTAGTTAGGCAGAATAGTTAAACTTGCTGCTGAAATAAAATCAAAGTCTCGTTGAAAATTCAACATTGGAAGCATCCCTTCAGGTAGTTCCTTACTTTCTGACCCTTTAATATCTTCTAAAAGCGGCAGATTTTCATTAGGTTGCATAGAATTTTCTCCTTTTTGTTCTTCTTCTGATAGCTTATTTAGAACAGCATGTAAGATTCCTGCCTCTTGACCTTTAGCTTCAAATTTCTTAGCATTGCTCTCAACTAGAGATTTTTTTTATTGATCGTCTTCCCTTAAAGAATGACCCCTCCAATCTTGTCCTTCTTCCTTAGTTGTTGCAATCATTCCTTGAATCATTAAAGATTCTTCCTGAATTGAAAAAAAGTCCACTTCTTCAAATTCATCACAATAAACATCATAAACTGGTTCTAACATGTCACCACCTTCCTCTTCAATAAAATCAAGGGTATGTCTCCACCGCTCTTTCAATCCACCCTTTACCGCTTGATTTGCAGTTCCAGCTTCATGAAAAGGCTTATCATCCATCAACTGCT